TTTAAGCACAGTATTAGTTTGACTAGACGTAACTGTAAGTTCTATGCTAAGAGTTTTTTTAGTTTTTTTTATCGAACTTCTGACTTGTGGAACACTCTTCCAGCTTCTTGCTTGCCAGTCAACTTTCATCTTCAAAAATTAAATACAATGTCAATCGTTATCTTCTGCCGTTTTCGTTATTGTCCTCTGTCTTTATTAGAAGTCTTTTCTTATATTCTGTAACAATCGGCAACACCTGGCGTCGTAGTAGCTTTATTCCCTTCCTTGCGGCGAGATGATAAAAAATGTTACATGTATTTACGCCTTTGCGTAGTGTAGCAAAAAACAACGGATAATTTGACGCAGAAATCAAAAAAGTGCATTGGACGAGAGAAAGATTCCTTTCAGAACCTGATCAAGGTATTAAGATATAGAAACCCGAGACAAAAAGGGGAGTGTTGAACGACTATACGACAGTGAAAGTTGGACTATTTTCTCTTAGAGGAAAAGGAGGTTTGAACTAACAGACATGTTCTACAGAAAGATGCTAAGAATATCATGGTAGAGAGAATTTTTAAGAGAACTTGAAACAAGATGAACGCTTATACCAACAAACAGAAAAAATCAAAATATTAAGAGCAATGGTCGGAAACTGATAATCAATGAACCACTGGTGGTCCGTGCAAAATTTTTGATAGACTGCAGAAAAATTGGGACATATTTTCATTTTTTATGAAGATTCAGATGCAAAAATGGCGGGTAACAAAACGTATTATGGATGGTATATATGTTCAAGACCTTACGTAATCTCGAAATAAACATCATCTGTCAATAGTATAAAATAATATGACTTGCAAAGTCATGTTCAATAATTGTTATTGAATAGTTTCTTACCACTACTGTTGATAACAAATTACTGGATCGTTTACTAATATAATTGTCTACAAACATGATATAGCAACGGAGTAATTAATAGCGGGAACTTCAACAATCGACTTTCACACGAGATACAACTTCATAAGCATTCGTACTCGAAAAATATATTTGCAAAATATTTAAAAAAAAACATTTTATTGGACTAGAATAAACTTCAAATTTTCAATTTGTTTTATTTAAATAATTTCACAATCTTTGATAGGTGCATTTCATATATTTAAAATAAAAGTTTTCCGATTATTATTATTTTTATAGAAATGTATTTCCCCTTTTCTTCTAAATTCATATTAGTGCTCCGCCAAATATAAAATTAGACATTTAGAGGTTCATGAAGTTCAAAAGGTTAGCGACCGCTAATCTAGAGCACATATTCAGGAATGAAAACTTAAAAAAATGCTTTCGCATATCATATTGATCACAAGATGAATGGACGGAAACAGTAAAAAACTACGTAATGAAATGGTGCAAATGTATAGTAAAACAAAAACTGTCGAAGATAGTGGACATACAGACTTTACTTATAGCTATAAATCTTGATAGGTAGTTGTGGAGAGCAATAATCGCTTACGAAGAGGGTGCATGAATGTAGAAGTAAACATAAAACTACTGAGGGGGAAATTATACAAGAGACATTTTATAACTTAATGATCTGTTAATAAAATATCGACTATAGAGAGTTATCCAAGGAATAAAAAACTTAAAGAGGGGAGGATTATCCATTTTATAACGTAAACAAAAAAACTTATAGAGAGGGGGGAAATTACTGGAGCGGGAAATTAGAGAGACATATTAACTTAATGATCTCTTAGTCTAAAAATTAAGGGTCGACTTATAGAGGGGTATCCAAAGAATGTAACATAAAACTACTGAGGGGGAATTATACAAGAGACATTTTATAACTTAATAATCTCTTAGTCTAAAAATTAATGGTCGACTTATACAGAGATATCCAAACATTGTAACATAAAATTACCGAGGGGAAATTTATACAAGACACAAAATCTTTAAAAATAAAAAAATGGTCGACTTATCGAGGTATCCAAAAATTAAAATACAAGGGGAGAATTATACAAGAGACATTTTTAACTTAATGATCTATTAGTCTAAAAATTAAGGGTCGACTTATAGAGAGGTATCCTGAGGGGAAATTATACAAGACATTTATTAACTTAATCAAAAATTAGGGTCGATTTTATAGAGGGGGAATGTAATTACTGAGGGGGGAAGACAAGAGACATTTTAAAACTTAATGATCTGTTAATCTAAAAAATTAATGGTCGACTTATAGAGAGGTATCAAAAAGAATAAAATTGTGAGAGGGAAATTTATACAAGACACATTTTATAACGTAATGATCTTTTAATCTAAAAATTAATGGTCGACTTATCGAGTGGTATCCAAAGAATGCGATAAAAACTACTGATTTTATACAAGAGACATTTTTTAACTTAAATGTTAATTAAAAAAAGATCGAGAAGAGGTAAAATTAAAAGAAAATATGAGGGGGAAATTATACAAGAGACATTTTTTTTGAACTGTTAGTCTAAAAATTAAGGGTCGACTTAAAGAGAAAACAAAATGTGAGGGGGAATTATACAAGAGACATTTTATAACTTAATAATCTGTTGTCTAAAAATTAATGGTCGACTTTATACAGAGGTATCCAAAGAATGCTGTACTAGGGGGGGAATTATAATAACTTAAGGATTTAAAAATCAACAAAGATAGAATGTGGAATTGTTCAGATAGTATCAGTCAAAAAATCAAAAGAAAAAAAGAAAGAAAGAACTGAAAGAAGGAAAGGAAAACAAAATGAATGAATGCGCGGGAAAGAAAAAACAAAGATAGAATGGTGTAAAGAGAGCAAAAAGAAAGGAAGAAAGAAAAAAAAAGAAAAATGAATGAATGAATGAATGAATGAAAGAAAGAAAGAAAGCAAGAAAGAAAGAAAGAAAGAAAGCAAGAAAGAAAGAAAGAAAGAAGACATAAAGAGAGACATCTGTAGAGCGAAAAGAGATGAATAAAGGAAAACAGCAAAAAAGAAAAAAAGAAAAGAATAGAAAAAAGAAAGAAAGAAAAAGAGACAAAAAGAAGGAAGAAAGAAAAATAGAAAAAAAGACAGAAAGGAATAGTGAAATTAAAGACAGTTAAACAGAAAAGAATAAAAAAAAAAATAACAAAAAAGAAAGAATATTTGATTGAATGAGAAATAACGACAAATAAAGTAAAAAAGAAAGAAATTTGAGAAAGAAATTGAAACTGAAGAAAAGAGAAATAAATGAACAAGAAAAAAAGAAAAGAGAAAGAAATAAAAAAAATATAGAAATATATATGAACAGAGAGAATTAAAGAAAAGGAGAAAGATAAAGAAAAACGCTAAATCGGAAAAACGAGAAAAAGAGAGAAAAATAAGTCAAGATGAAAAGAAAATAAACGTATCAAGAAAGAAAGAAAAAATGCAACATGTAAAAAAAAGGCGTAGAATTTGAGAGAAAGAACTAAAAGAATGAATATATTTAGCGAATAAATGAGTTGAAAAAATATTATTTTCTAATTTTTTTTTAGACATGGTGTTCAACTCAATGATTGGCATTCTACGAGTTAATTCTCATCTTCACAGGTGATTTCTGTTATGGGTTTCCGGCTGCTGTAGACTTCGGCCTTCCTCATAATTTAAAAATAAAATAAAATACACACGAACATATCACAGGTGACTAATGAACAAATGGCGTCAAGAAGAACAAGTTAACTACTATAACAGATCGTATGTCAGGAATTTGAACATGAAGAGATAAGATGAAGGAAATGAATGAAAATAAGAAAGAAAAAGAGAAAGAAAGGAAGAAAGAAAGAAAGAAAGAAATATGACGAAAGAAAGAAAGAAAGAAAGAAAGAAAGAGAAAAGGAAAGAAAGAAAGGAAAGAGAAAGAAAGGAAAGAGAGAAAGAAAGGAAATAGAAAGAAAGGAAAGAGAGAAAGAAAGGAAGGAAGGAAGGAAAGAAAAAAGAAAGAAAGAAAAGAGAAAGAAAGAAAGAAAAAGAAAAGAGAAACAAAGAAAGGAAATATGAAGACAAAAAGAAAGAAAGAAAGAAAGAAAGGGAGAAAAAAGAAACAAACAAATAAACAATGAAAGAAAAAAATAGAAATGAAGAAGGTTAGAAAAAATCCAATGTAGAGCGATAAGAGGAACAATGAAAACAGTGAACAGCAAAGTATAAAAGGAAAAAGGAATAAAGAAATAAAGCACTAATAAAAGACAAGACATAAAAAATAGAAATAATGGAAAACAGTGAAAAAGAAAGAAAGAAAGGATGGAAGCACCATGAAAAAGAAAAGATTGAAAACAAAGGAATGAAAAATGAAATAAATTATAAAATGATAGATCTTAAAAGAAAGAAAGAAAGAAGGAAAGTAAGACTGAAAGGAAGAAAAGGGAAGGAAAATGAAGACATAAAAAATAGAAATAATGGAAAACAGTGAAAAAGAAAGAATAAAAGAGGAAAAAGAAAGAAAGAAAGAAAGAAAGAAGCACCAATAAAAAGAACAGATTGAAAACAAGAAAGTTAGAAAAAAACAATTTAGAGCGAAAAGAGAAAAATAATGGAAATAGTGAAAAGAAAAAAAAAAGACGAGGAAAAAGAAAGAGAGAAAAAGAAAGAAAGGAATGTCATTAATTTGAATAATTAATTAAACGTTTCTTTCTTTGTTTTCCTCAGACATTGTTTTTTTCTAACTTTCTTCATTTCTTTCTTTTTCCTATTATTATTTACTTTTCACTATTTTCCATTATTTCTAGTTTTATGTCTCTCTTTTGTGTTTTATTTCTTCCTGTCTTTCTTTCATTTTCTGTCTTCCTTCTTCTTCCGTTCATTATTTCTTTCTTGCTTTAATGTCTATCATTTTATAATTTATTTCATTTTTCATTCGTTTGTTTTCATATCTTCTGTATAGTTGAGATGGGAGCAGAAAAATACAGAAAGAACAAGAGTAAGAGAATGATTGAATTTATTAAAAAACAAGTGAAGCAACGCGATTTAAATGATTGAGGAAAATAAAAAACAAACATTTAATTAATTATTCAAATTAATGACATTCCTTTCTTTCTTTTTTCTTTCTTTCTTTTTCCATGTCTTTTATTCTTTTCTTTTCACTATTTCCCATTATTCTTCTCTTTTCGCACTACATTGTTTTTTTCTTTTTTTTTCCTATTTGTTATTATTTCCTTTTCACTATTTTCCATTATTTCTTTTTTATGTCTCTCTTTTGTGTTTTCTTTCTTTTTTCTTTTTCTTTCTTCCTTTTTCGTACTTTCATTATTTCTTTCTTTCTTTTAAGATCTATCATTTTATAATTTATTTCATTTTTTATTCCTTTGTTTTCAATCTTTTCTTTTTCATGGTGCTTCCTTTCTTTCTTTCTTTTTCACTGTTGTCGATTATTTCTATTTTTATGTCTCTCTTTTACGTCTTCATTTTTCTTTCCTTTTCTTCCTTTCAGTCTTACGTTCGTTCTTTCTTTCTTTCTTTTTTTCTTTCTTTCTTTCTTTCTTTCTTTTAAGATCTATCATCCTATAATTTTTCATTTTACATTCCTTTGTTTTCAATCTTTTCAACAATTATGGTTGAAATTCTTTTATTTGTTTCTTTTTTCTTCCTTTCTTTCGCCGTCATTTTCTTTCTCTCTTTCTGGCTTTCTTAATTTCTTTTTGTCTTTCTCTCATTCTTCCTTCCTTCCTTTCATTCTTTTTTTATCTTTTTTGACAAAAATTTGATAGAAAAATTGAAATGTAAGAAAGAAAAAGAAAGAAGAGCTTAGTAGTAGAGATAAAAAAAAGAAAACAACGTGAAGGATGTAATTTTAAAAAAGTTAATAAAGAAAGAAAAAAGGAAGAAAACAAAATTAAAGGAACAGAGAGAGAGAGAGAGAGAGAGAGAGCAAAAGAAAGACAGAATGAAAATATAAAAGGGGAGGAAATCAAGGCGAAGAAAGATAAAAAGAATGTTTAGTTTAAGCAAAGGTAAAAGTTGAAAGAAAGGCGAAATTCAGAAAACTTATTCGTTCTTTTTTTTCTCCTTACTTCTTTTATTCACTTACTCCTTCTCATCCTCCTCCCTTTCTTCCCTTTTTCTTCCTTCCTTCCTTCCTTCCCATTTTTGCCTTTTTCTTACTTTTTTCTAGTAAATCTCTCCTCTTTTTCATACGTTTCTTTTCATTTTACATTTATGTTTATTTTTAATCTCATTTTTATATTTTGTTTGCTTTTCTAAAAATGATTTTTTTTATATTTTCCTTTCTTTCCTTATTTGTCTCTTTCTTCTTTTCTTTTTATTTGTTTTCTTTATTTCTTTTCCATTCTTTCATAATTCTTCTGTGACACTTAGCCATTGCTTCTACGGCTTCTTTTCTAATTCATTCTGTTCTTCTCTTATTTTACCAAAGATTTTATTTGTATTGTGCAATTTTCAATTGGAAGCAGACATTTGTTAATGCTGTTTATAAATATATGTGGTGAAAGATATAGGAAGAAATAATTTGCCGTTACAAGAGTGCTGGATCTTCTCAAATCTCAAAAAAATGCAGAAAGAAAGAAAGAAAGAAAGAAAGAAAGAAAATAAATAAAGAAAGAAAATAAAGAGAGAAAAAAGGAAGGAAAGAGAAAGAAAAGAAGGAAATATGAAGAAAGAAAGATATAAAGATAGAAAGATAGTAAAGAAACAAACAAACAAAGGAAAGAGAAAGAAAGGAAGGAAATATGAAGAAATAAAGAAAGAAAAAAGATAGAAAGAAAGAAACAAAAGAAAGAGAAAGAAAGGAAGGAAATATGAAGAAAGAAAGAAAGAAAGAAGGAAAGAAAGATAGAAAGAAAGAAACAAAGGAAAGAGAAAGAAAGGAAGGAAATATGAAGAAAGAAAGAAAGATAGAAATAAAGAAAGAAAGGAAGGAAATATGAAGAAAGAAAGAAAGATAGAAATAAAGAAAGAAAGAAAGGAAAGAGAAAGAAAGAAAGAAAGGAAATATGAAGAAAGAAAGAAAGATAGAAATAAAGAAAGAAAGAAAGGAAAGAGAAAGAAAGAAAGAAAGGAAATATGAAGAAAGAAAGAAACAAACAAAGGAAAGAGAAAGAAAGGAAGGAAATATGAAGAAAGAAAGAAAAAAAAAGAAAAAAAAAACAAAGGAAAGAGAAAGAAAGCAAGGAAATATGAAGAAAGAAAGATAAAAAGAAAGAAACAAAGGAAAGAGGAAGAAAGAAAGAAAGAAAGAAAGGAAATATGAAGAAAGAAAGAAACAAACAAACAAACAAAGGAAAGAGAAAGAAAGGAAGGAAATATGAAGAAAAAAAGAAAGAAAGAAAGAAAGAAAGAACCAAACAAACAAAGGAAAGAGAAAGAAAGCAAGGAAATATGAAGAAAGAAAGATAGAAAGAAAGAAACAAAGGAAAGAGAAAGAAACAAAGGAAATATGAAGAAAGAAAGAAAGAAACAAACAAACAAACAAAGGAAAGAGAAAGAAAGGAAGAAAAAAGAAAGAAAGAAAGAAAGGAAGGAAGGGAGGAAAGAAAGAAAGAAAAAAGAAAGAAAGAAAGAAAGAAAGAAAGGAAGGAGGAAAGAAGGAAAGAAGGAAAGAAGGAAAGAAAAAAGAAAGAAAGAAAGAAAGAAAGGAAAGAGAAACAAATAAAGGAAATATGAAAACAAAAAGAAAGTGAGAAATAAGAAACAAACAAGTAATAAAAAAAGTTAGAAAAATTGAAACCAAAAAGGAAGTAAAAAGATTGAAAAACAAAGGAAGGAAAATGAAAGAAATTATAAAATGGCAGCCATTAAAAAAAAAGAAAAAGAAAAAGATGAAAAGAAAGATTGAAAGGAAGGAAGAAAAAAGGAATGACAGAAAGAAAAAGAAAAGCTAGAAAGAGAGAAAAAGAAAAAAAGAAATAAAAAAGAACATAAAAAAAGAAATTGGTAAAGAAAAAAAAGAAAAATATAAAAAAATATTAAAAAAAAAAGAAGTATAATTATTGTAAAGATAGAAAAAAAAGAAAAAGGAAGGAAAAATGAAAGAAATTAGAAAAATGGCAGCCATTAAAAGAAAGGAAGAAAAAAAAAGATAAAAGAAAGAATGAAAGGAAGGAAATAAAAAGGAAATGACAGAAAGAATGTAAGAAAGCTAGAAAGAGAGAAAGAAAGAAAATGATGGGGGGAAAAGGAAGAAAAAAGAAACAAATAAAAGAATTATATAAAGAAATTACATAAAAGAAGTATAATTATTGTAAAGATTGAAAACAAAGGAAGGAAAAATGAAAGAAATTATAAAATGGCAGCCATTAAAAGAAAGGAAGAAAAAGATAAAGAACGAATGAAAGGAAGGAATGGGGGAATGACAGAAAGAAAGTAAGAAAGCTAGAAAGAGAGAAAGAAAGAAAATGATGGGGGGGAAAAGGAAGAAAAAAGAAACAAATAAAAGAATTATATAAAGAAATTACATAAAAGAAGTATAATTATTGTAAAGATTGAAAACAAAGGAAGGAAAAATGAAAGAAATTATAAAATGGCAGCCATTAAAAGAAAGGAAGAAAAAGATAAAGAAAGAATGAAAGGAAGGAATAAAAAGGGAATGACAGAAAGAAAGTAAGAAAGCTAGAAAGAGAGAAAGAAAGAAAATGATGGGGGAAAGGAAGGAAAAAAAAACAAATAAAAGAATTATATAAAGAAATTACATAAAAGAAGTATAATTATTGTAAAGATTGAAAAACCAAGGAAGGAAAAATGAAAGAAATTATAAAATGGCAGCCATTAAAAAGAAAGGAAGAAAAGATAAAGAAAGAAATGAAAGGAAGGAATAAAAAAGGAAATGACAGAAAGAAAGTAAGAAAAGCTAGAAAGAGAGAAAGAAAGAAAATGATGGGGGGAAAAGGAAGGAAAAAGAAACAAATAAAAGAATTATATAAAGAAATTACATAAAAGAAGTATAATTATTGTAAAGATTGAAAACAAAGGAAGGAAAAATGAAAGAAATTATAAAATGGCAGCCATTAAAAGAAAGGAAGAAAAGATAAAGAAAGAATGAAAGGAAGGAATAAAAAGGGAAATGACAGAAAGAAAGTAAGAAAGCTAGAAAGAGAGAAAGAAAGAAAAATGATGGGGGAAAAAAGGAAGAAAAAGAAACAAATAAAAAGAATTATATAAAGAAATTACATAAAAGAAGTATAATTATTGTAAAGATTGAAAACAAAGGAAGGAAAATGAAAGAAATTATAAAATGGCAGCCATTAAAAAAAAAGGAAGTAAAAGATAAAGAAAGAATGAAAGGAAGGAATAAAAAGGAATGACAGAAAGAAAGTAAGAAAGCTAGAAAGAGAGAAAGAAAGAAAATGATGGGGGGGAAAAGGAAGAAAAAGAAACAAATAAAAGAATTATATAAAGAAATTACATAAAAGAAGTATAATTATTGTAAAGATTGAAAAACAAAGGAAGGAAAAATGAAAGAAATTATAAAATGGCAGCCATTAAAAAAAGAAAGGAAGAAAAGATAAAGAAAGAATGAAAGGAAGGAATAAAAAGGAAATGACAGAAAGAAAGTAAGAAAGCTAGAAAAGAGAGAAAAAAGAAATGGGGGGAAAAGGAAGAAAAAGAAAACAAATAAAAGAAATTATATAAAGAAATTAATTATAAAAAAGAAGGAAAAATGAAAGAAATTAAAAATTGAAAACAAAGGAAGGAAAAAAGAAAAAAGAAAAGAAAAAATAAATGAAGGAATAATTAAAAAGAAAGGAAGAAAAGATAAAGAAAGAAATGATGGGGGAAGGAAGGAAAAAGGGAATGACAGAAAGAAAGTAAGAAAGCTAGAAAGAGAGAAAGAAAGAAAAATGATGGGGGGAAAAGGAAGAAAAGAAAAAGAAAGGAAGGAATAAAAAGAATTATATAAAGAAATTAATAAAAAAAGTATAATTATTGTAAAGATGGGGAAAAAAAGAAAAAGAAAGGAAAAATGAAAGAAATTATAAAATGGCAGCCATTAAAAAGAAAAGGAAGAAAAAGATAAAGAAAGAAATGAAAGGAAGGAAAAAAAAAGGAATGACAGAAAGAAAGTAAGAAAGCTAGAAAGAGAGAAAGAAAGAAAATGATGGGGGAAAAGGAAAAAAAGAAACAAATAAAAAGAATTATATAAAGAAATTACATAAAAGAAGTATAATTATTGTAAAGATTGAAAACAAAGGAAGGAAAAATGAAAGAAATTATAAAATGGCAGCCATTAAAAGAAAGGAAGAAAAAGATAAAGAAAGAATGAAAGGAAGGAATAAAAAGGGAATGACAGAAAGAAAGTAAGAAAGCTAGAAAGAGAGAAAGAAAGAAAATGATGGGGGTAAAAGGAAGAAAAAAGAAACAAATAAAAGAATTATATAAAGAAATTACATAAAAGAAGTATAATTATTGTAAAGATTGAAAACAAAGGAAGGAAAAATGAAAGAAATTATAAAATGGCAGCCATTAAAAGAAAGGAAGAAAAAGATAAAGAAAGAATGAAAGGAAGGAATAAAAAGGGAATGACAGAAAGAAAGTAAGAAAGCTAGAAAGAGAGAAAGAAAGAAAATGATGGGGGGAAAAGGAAGGAAAAAGAAACAAATAAAAGAATTATATAAAGAAATTACATAAAAGAAGTATAATTATTGTAAAGATTGAAAACCAAGGAAGGAAAAATGAAAGAAATTATAAAATGGCAGCCATTAAAAGAAAGGAAGAAAAAGATAAAGAAAGAATGAAAGGAAGGAATAAAAGG